TAAAGTATTTGAGAGCTTCAGGGTCTGCATTCAGCTAAACTTTAACAGGGGCATGTGGACTGTTTATTCTCTGGCCATTCCTGGCATTGCTTGAGGCACTCGAGTGGCACTAAAGTGGTACTTGGTGAATAGAAGGCAGAATATCAGTCTTTTAACCCTTGAATCATCCCTGCCTGTAGACTTCAGGGGTGGACAAGGGATCAGGAATGGAGGTTGTGTGAGAGACTGACTCTTTGGATCCTGCATCTATCTGTCTACTTCTTTGGTTCTCTAGTTCACTTAGCCCTCTGTGATAGTTTAGGTGGTAGAGCAGAAACCATCTTGGAGATTTCCTTTAGGCTTTTTCTTGAATAGCTCTCTGGACAAAGATGAGCTAGTGGGCCAGGAGAGCCTTTGTGGGACCCTCAAAGGTATCAACTAATCTATATTCTATCATCTTAGGCTTGGGGAAGGGAAGGCTCCTCTGTGAGTGGGTGACAGAGATGGTATGGATCACAGGTCTACTAACTCTTCATTATTATCTAGCTGGCTGTAATAGTAGCTTGTTTTAAGGATGTTTTCACTTTTCTCTTTCTTTCTTCTCTCAGGAGATTGCTGTACTGAATGATAGAGCTAGAAGGGACATTTAGAGGTCATTTGTTCTATTTCTCTGACTCCAATTCCAATTCTCTCTGGATAGGATCAGTTGACAGCTAGATTTACTCTGAAATTATTCTAACAGTGTTACCTGGCAACAGTATATCTAGGTCCCTTTGTGTCTTCTGGGAGTCCCTCTCACTGGAATTCCAAGACTTAAGGTCCTTAGAAGGGAGAATATCTGGCTACCCACACTACTTGGATTGGGTCTTTCCTGTTTAAGCTGGTGACAATTGGCATCATTACAGATTGGGAGCAGTCTGTTTCTGATATTTCAAAGATAGAACTGAGTTTTATCATGTGTATCTTTCCCAACTCGGGATATTTTCTCCCTGCTACCCCACTCTATTCTTCTGCCCCCAAAGAAAAAATGGTATAAAGGTAGTTTCTTTTGGGGCAGTCTGTTGGTCAAGTGAAAGAGGTAGTCTTATTATCATTGACTGGTTTTGCTGTTCATCCTCCCTCCTATTTATTTATTTATTTATTTATTCCTATTTAATACTTGATAGAGCTGAAAAAGTTTTCAGTTCTAGGTTCTAATTTGTGTTATAGGAGCAGTCACTTGGAGGATTAGCTTAGGACTGCATTAATTTGGAAGGTGAGTGTTGGGAAATGGCAGGTAACACTGACTTGATAGTTTTCCTTCCTTTTCCATGTAAGAAGGACATCTTCCCTGACCTTAGTTAAGCGATCCAAATGAAGTGGGCCTTTATGCAAGTTCTTTCTTCAGGCCCTCAGTCTCTCCAACTTGTCATGAGAGAACTGTATAGTAATAGATACACTCTAGGGACCCTTCTAGTACTGATGTTCTTTTATACGTTGAGAATTTTCTTTGGATATTGTCATTTATTTTAGAGAAATGTTTATCATAAATTAACTCCCTCAGTTTGATCTTATTTTCTTTTTGTAAGTACATCTGTCCATGGAATTCTCCAGGCAAGAACACTGAAGTGGGTAGCCAGCCATTCCCTTCTCCAGGGGATCTTTCTGATCCAGGGATTGAACCCAGATCTCCTATATTGCAGACAGATTCTTTACCACCTGAACAACCAGGGAAGCCCCTACTGATGTTCTTGAAAGCCTTGATGATACAGCCCTCAGACCTCCCATTTTTGCGTCTTCTTCCTTCAGACATTCTTTCCTTAAAGTTTGAGTGCCTTCTTTGTACCAGGAAGTGTGCTAGGCTATGCTGAGAGTACAGTTAAAGAGCAGTTGCTAAAAGGTATCTTCTTGTCCCCCTACACTTCTGGAGTGTTGTTTCTTCCTGGGTACTGGGTTCAGAATAGAGAGCTTCTAGCATTGGCGTTGGTTTGTCTCATTAGTAGCTCTGACATGAACACTGGCATGAGTGTTCTGGGCCATTTCTTCTTGATTCTATGGAGGGGAAAGGGCTATATCTATGTAGGGAACAAGAAAGAAACCAACTGAGAGTATATTGTAAAGACTGGGGTTGACCGAGGAGCCTCAAACACTGAAAACTTGATGGATTTCCCCTCTTTTCTTCTCACTGCCTGCCAGAAGCATAGCTCCTCCCTGCCTCTCTCCTGCCCTGCCCCCACACCCCCAGTTCTGCTGAGAGGCTAGGAAGCTACTGAGTTATGTTTCAAGTTGACTTTAACCTCCGGTGTGCTAGTTAGATATTCTGGTAGACAGTGAGGAGGTGGTGGGCATAAACCAACCTCTTAAGGTATCTACCACCAGTGCACTGAGGGTTGGCTATTGTGAGGTGCAGCATTTCAAATGAATCTGTACTTAGGATGACCCAGAGCTTCCTTAGCCTTAAGTTGTTTCTCTTTTAGCTGATTGTTCTGAGTGGTCTGGGTTTCTCACAGAAGTGTTTTGAATCACAGAGTAAATGAGCTGGCCTTAAAACTTTTTAGTTTAAGTTTAGTTTATATTTTAGATGGGGATACCAAAGCCCAGGAAAGAGAAGTGATTTGAATGAATTGGTAATAAAGCTGTGGACTAAAATTCAACTTGTCTGACCCCAGATAGGGGGGAAATATTGAATGTCTGCCTTTTAAATGGCACTCACTGCAAGATACTCAGCATTTTCTTCTTTTATGCTACAGGTGAGGAGTGACTTGACTATAGTGTTAAAATGGTCCTGAGCAAGTCCTTCTGTGTATGTAGTGCTTATCTCAAAGGTTACTTTGTATGGAGATAATCCAGATGATTCAGGCTCTGACCTTGCTTTTTGGATTCTTTGTAGCACTTCCCAGGATGGTAAGTGTTTTGCTTTGATGGTGAAGTGTGGTAGAAAGTAGATACCTGCACAGAAGAGAGGTAAGGAGAGGAGACTAGCTATGTTTTCCTGCTTGCGACTAGGCTTCACTGTCCTGAGTCTTTACTGAATGGAGTTATTTCTTTCCCATATTCATAGCTGAAAAGTTTAGCCAGTTTGTTCAGGGTCACATGAAGTTTGTAACAGTGTTGAAAGGAGAACTTGACTTTCCTGATTCCCAAGTTAGTGGTCTCTCACTGGACTTGCCTGACTTGAAAGGATGATGACTCTTTTCACTCATGGGACACTGACATCCAGAGAATTGGCTCTGTGGTGATTATATTAACAGTAATGGCCACAATGCCACAATGGAGTTCCCCTAAATAGCTTCTGCTGTAGCAGGTTTCAGTCAGTGGGTGACTCAGTTCTTCTGGGGCATCAAAATGACTTTTTCCTCTTCCTGCCTGCCCCTCACCCAAATTTCCCGCTTTCTCTTCGCCATTTAAAATTTTGATCTCTGACCTCTTTGTATTCTGACTCAGTGGTCCAGCTTGACATGTTCCTTGAGTTAGGAGAATATTATGGTACTTTCTTCCACTTTGATGACAATATTTGAATACAAACTGGAGTCTCCGGACCTCAACTCTCACTACTTACCTCTAGGTTTTGTAGACCAGACCCAATGAAGGTGTGTGTGTGCTCAGTCACATCCAACTCTTTGTGACCCTATGGACTGTAGCCTGCCAGGCTCCTCTGTCCATAGTATTTTCCAGGGAAGAATACTAGAATGAGTTTCCATTTCCTACTCCAGGAGATCTTCCTGACCCAGGAATCAAACCCCTATCTCTTGCATCTCCTACATTGGCAGGCAAATTCTTTACTGCTGCACCACCTAGGAAACCCCCCAGTGAAGGTAGCTAGCCAAAAAAAGGACTTTTCAGGCCTTTATAGATAGGGGAATATAGAGTATTGGTGAAAAACACAAACTCTGGAACCAGATTGCTTGGATTCAGATCCCAGCTCTGTGACCAACTGTTAATAGTTTTGTAGCCTTGGGCAAGTTGCTTAGCTTCTGTGCTTCATTTTCCTCAACTGTAAAGTTGGAGATACCAATCTGGTAGGGTTGTTTAAGGATTAAATGGGGGTAAATTTCTATAAAGGGCTTAGAACTGTGGCTAGTATCTAATCAATGCTATGCAAATGTTGTTATTATTTGTGGAACTAACCCTCTGCTAGGTAAGATGGGTAAGAATGAAGGCAGGCAGCTTGAATTCTCACCATTTATTGAGTGGTTACTACATACTATTTACTATAAGGGATACAAATAAATGAATGGAGGATACATTTGCTACCTTCATAGATCTATTTAACTGGAGATTTAGGGCAAACTCACTAAAACACAATTTGAAAAAAAAAATGTATACATGGCATTTTCTATAGATTTTGAGAAGGGAGTTTATTGGGACATAAACAGGGCCTTGAAGGGTGTGTACCCTTGGGGGCAGTGGCTGTTCTGAGTGGGACAGTGACAGTTTCCATATGTGGGTGTAAACCAAGTGGCCGTATGCCACACTGTTCTCTTGAAAATGAGTTTGCCTGAAATGAAGGAAGGCTTGATGTGCTGATTATTTCAAGGGGAGCCACAGAGTACATGTAAGCATAGACCAAGTTGCTCTTTCTAGGGTCATCTGGAGAAACAAACAGTCCTGTTTCAATTGGCAAACACCATCTGAAGGGATCTGTTCTGGGAGACTGTACCTTGGGTTTTCCAGCGTTGGGTGAATTAACTAAGACAAATTTTGTTGTCTTTGTTGCCTAAGTGGGTATGTGAGTGGCTCCTTCCTTCATGTTTCCAGGTGAGCTAAACCAAGGAATAGAGCTTAGTGATTACTCTTACGGTCAACAGCGTAAAGACGGCTTTTAATTCTCTCAGTGGCTTTGCTATGAGATAGGTATTTGAGAAAGGATAGAAGTGAGGGGAGGATTCCCTTGTGTTATGACTGTCTTAGATTGAAAAGTGTGTCATTTTCTTGCGAGGACTCAGCTGTAGTATCTGGGCCTTTAAACTTGGAGAAAGGATCTTTTGGGTGACTTTCAAAAAATAGCTCTTTGCCTGTGCCTGATGATCAAAGCAGATTGGATGCTCCTATCAGTGGGCTTGTTGTGGTATAAGGTTAGTGTTGACATAGTTCCTAGGCCAATGGTATGGTGACCTACCACTGTGTTAGTTTAGTAGTAATGTTTTGCCAGGTAGCTACTGTGATTGGTGACTACAAAGGTTGAAGTTTGTTCCTGTGCCTGGTGACGCTTCTACTTTGTGGGAATTTGATACTTTGTATGGCCAGGATATCAATTAGAGTCTAATGAGTGAAAAAATGAGGTGTGGACATTTGATTGAATGTAACAATAACAAAGTATAATCCTGAGAAATCTTTTCCTGGATATTTATTTGGCAGATAGGAGGGGGAATAAGGCATACATATCAGGCTTGGTCAGCATTTCTTTCCTATCTTTAGTCTTGGCCTCCCTTAAATACCTGGGAAAGGTTAAGGCTCGTTTTCCTCCAGTGAAGTATGTATAGATAAGGTTCCTAATCTTACTGTCTTGGTATAATCTGCCTCTTACCCCTCCCACCTCCCTGTCCTTTTTCAGAAATCTCAGCCTGAAGGTTAGATAAGTATACAAAGATGTTCTAAATTGTTGTAAACTCTGACTGTGGTTGATTAATCTATGGTATGGAGTTGGAGGGTGAGGGTCAAAGTAATAGCCCATTTGGGTGTCATTAGTTAAGCTGTACAAACCTTTGGTATTTTCAAAGGTTTTAAGTGAGCTAATCTTCTCTCCAAATATACTTGCAGATATTCCTGGGAGGTTGACTAATCCACAGAAGTTCCCTTGTTGAGAGCAAAAGTCATTTTTACCTTTTAATTTTTCTTTATCTTGAAAGTATCAACAATAACAGAAATATATAACTGAAATATAGCCCTTTTCTTCAGGTTCCCTACTCTTCTTGGCACAAGGGCCATGGTGGATCTAGCATATAATTGGTGAGAACATTTGTCACTTTACTTCAGGGTTACACTATACCTCTTTGCTGATACTTGGAGAGGTGCTCCAGCAGGACCTGAAGAGGGCCTAGGGAAAATTTAGATTTAGTTGCCTTTCTCTTTGCCATAACCCGGGCATTTTCCTAAGGTTGGGAGTTTGCTGCCTGGCCTTAGGCCAGTTGCCAGAGGAAACCAATGACTAAAGGCTTCCTCCCTGCGACGTCAGCTTCTGGAATCTTTCCTGATGATTCCCTACCAGTCAAGTATGCCTTATTTGGCTATATTTTCCCCCCGAAATGCCTTTGCCACCTCAACTAGTGTCTTGTTCTTCTTCGGTACAGGGAATACCTTCCTCATGTTTGTATAGTGCCACCTACAAACTTTTCTTCTTTAGAGCTTGTTTAGAGCAGGAGGTGGCCCCTTTGTTGGGGCCAGGGTGGGGACTAGTGAGAAAGGAGAGAGGAAGATGAGAGAACACTGGGAATGACTGATTTCTCCACCTTGCTTTTTTATCTTTTCCTGTCCTCCTCACCCCTGCCTGATCACCTCTCTCTAGCTTCTTACCTAGATCTCTGATAGTCTAAGAGTAGTCTTGCATGGCCTGAAAAGGCTCAGGGTGTGGGGCTAGGGTGGGGCCAGATTGGGCTCTCAGCATCTGAAACTACTTCTTTGGAGTAGCTAAAGCCTTCAGTTAAGTTCAGTTCACTTGCTCAGTTGTGTCTGACTCTTTGTGACCCCATGGACTGCAGCATGCCAGGCCTCTCTGTTCATCGCCAACTCCCGGAGTTTACTCAAGCTCATGTCCATTGAGTCGGTGATGCCATCCAATCATCTCATCCTCTGTCATCCCCTTCTCCCCTCACCTTCAGTCTTTCCTAGTGTCAGGGTCTTTTCAGATGAGTCAGTTCTTCACATCAGGTGGCCAGAGTATTGGAGTTTCAGCTTCAGCATCAGTCCTTCCGATGAATATTCAGGACTGATTTCCTTTAGGATGGACTGGGTGGATCTCCTTGTAGTCCAAAGGACTCTCAAGTGTCTTTTCCAACACCACAGTTCAAAAGCATCAATTCTTCAGTACTCAGCTTTCTTTATAATCCAACTCTCACATCCATACATGACTATTGGAAAAACCATAGCTTTGACTAGATGGACCCTTGTTGGCAAAGTAATATCTCTGCTTTTTAATAAGCTGTCTAGGTTGGTCATAACTTTTCTTCCAAGGAGCAAGCATCTTTTAATTTCATGGCTGCAATCACCATCTGCAGTGATTTTGGAGCCCCAAAAAATAAAGTCAGCCACTTTTTCCACTGTCTCCCCATCTATTTCCCATGAGGTAATGGGACCAGATGCCATGATCTTAGTTTTCTGAATGTTGAGCTTTAAGCCAACTTTTTCACTCTCTTCTTTCACTTTCTTCAAGAGGCTTTTTAGCTCCTCTTCACTCTCTGCCATAAGGTTGGTGTCATCTGCATATCTGAGGTTTTTGATGTTTCTCCCGGCAATCTTGATTCCAGCTTGTGCTTCATCCAGCCCAGCGTTTCTCATGATGTACTCTGCATATAAGTTAAATAAGCACGGTGACAATATACGGCCTTGATGTACTCCTTTTCCTATTTGGAACCAGTCTGATGTTCCATGTCCAGTTCTAACTGTTGCTTCCTGACCTGCATACAGGTTTCTCAAGAGGCAGGTCAGGTGGTCTGGTATTCCCATCTCTTTCAGAATTTTCTAGAGTTTATTGTGATCCACACAGTCAAAGGCTTTTGCATAGTCAATAAAGCAGAAATAGATGTTTTTCTGGAATTCTCTCGCTTTTTTGATGATCCAACGGATGCTGGCAATTTGATCACTGGTTCCTCTGCCTTTTCTAAAACCAGGTTGAACATCTGGAAGTTCATGGTTCATGTACTGTTGAAGCCTGGCTTGGAGAATTTTGAGCATTCATTACTTTACTAGCGTGTGAGAAGAGTGCAATTGTGCGGTAGTTTGAACATTCTTTGGCATTGCCTTTCTTAGGGATTGGAATGAAAACTGACCTTTTCTAGTCTTGTGGCCATTGCTGAGTCTTCCAAATTTGCTGACATATTGAGTGCAGCACTTTCACAACATCATCTTTTAGGATTTGAAATATCTCAACTGTAATTCTATCACCTCCACTAGCTTTTAGTAGTGATGCTTCCCAAGGCCCACTTGACTTCGCATTCCAGGGTGTCTGGCTCTAGGTGAGTGCTCACACCATCCAGTTGCTAAATTCTTTATATGTGCCTTTTGTATGCCTAGGCTTCTCACTTGGCTTTTCTTAATGGGCTGGGTCCAACATCCTTCTTAGTCTTATCTCCAGTCTTGAGCTGTCTCACCCCAGCTTAGAAGAGCTGAGCTTTTGACACAGCTTCAAGCACTTGTCTGGTTTTTTTTTTAATGCTTTTGAGTAGAAATGGTACATTGAAAAGACTAACAGACTGAATCAGAATTTATGGTTTTTATTCTCAATCTGTGTGACCTTGGGCAAGTCACTTTTATGGGCCTTAGTTTTCCCATCTGTAGGATGAGAACATTGACTTTTTCTGACATTCTGATTACTTGTGCCTAGTCTTTAAGATGATAAGAAGTTCACGGAAAGAGTGTAACAGGACAAAGAACAAAAACTATTTGGTGAAGCTGCTCTTTCTTATTTAGAATGGTATTGGGAATGTCATTCCCCCCAAACTTGCTCCCAGCTATCATTGTGTAAGTAGCCCTCTCTATTTCACTGAGCTCTGCTTAAATGTATTGGATCAACCTATGACAGAGCTTGCTTTGAATATCCTGACTTGGAGAGATGACTGTTAACTGAGAGCCATGGGTGTGGGACCTTGGAGTTCAGCCTGCAAAGTACAGTCGCTGGCTATTTTGGGTCCTTGGTGACTCCAAGAAGAATAGAAGATCCTTGAATTGGTCATTGTTCCAGTAGGGAAGGGGAAGACCAAGAAACAAACCAAAACTGAAATGCAAATGAAATTTGACTTCCTCTACTCCTTTCCCCTACAACATCCCTCTCCTTAGGATTATGAAATTGCTTTTGGCTACATCTTAAATTGCTAAGCTCCCCTTCCCCCTTCTTCTGTCTGAGTCATTGATGCCTTTGTTTCCCTTGTATCAGGAGAGCTAGGTGATGTGGTATTGGTTGGAGTGAAGGGGAGAAATTTCTAGTGAGAGAGATTGCCACAGCCCTAGTGTTCAGCCTTCAACTTATCCTGCATTTTGTGAAGATGGCTTCTGGTGGTCTTAGATCTATAGATGAAAGGGGAGGGGCCTCTGAATTTCCTGTGAGGGAATTATGGACTTATGAGGCATAAGAGGTTCACTGGAGATGGTATACCCTTGGCTGGATCTGTTTTTACCCTTCTTCCCCTTACTGACATTTTGTACAGTGTGGACATGCATGCTCAGTCGCTTCAGTCTTTGCGACCCATGGACTGTAGCCCGTCAGGCACCTATGTCTGTGAGATTCTCCAGACAAGAATACTGGAGTAGGTTGCTGTGCCCTCCTTCAGGGAATCTTCCTGACCCAGGGATTGAACCCATGCCTCCTTCATCTCCTGAATTGCAGGCAGATTCTTTACCACTGAGCCACCGGGGAAGCCCTATTTTGTACAGTACTTGCTTGTAAATCAGGGATCCCAGGCTGTATCTCAGCCACCTAGGAGTTGGCCATGAGCGTACTCTTCACGTGCTCTGAACCTTCTGAAGTGAGGGCAAAATAGAAGTCTTCTTTGTGTCTGTCTTCTTTCCTTTGGGAACAATTTCTTAGGGCAGAGAAGGCTTAGTTGGGTAAAACTGGGCAGTGCTTTTGGGTGGAAGATTCTTCTCCAGCATTAAGCTGGAATGGCCTCTGGCCCATGCAGGAGCTTGCTGCTTGGAGCAGCCACCTTGCTGGAAGCTTTTCCTTCTTAGGAGCCTCCATGTGTTAAGGATTCCAGTTGCAGGTGGTAGATTAGAAACACTGTTTGTGAGAGAGAGCAGGAAAGCTGATAAGAGGATAGAGATGGGGAGAAGGCAAGAGGAATCAGATAGAAGAAGAGTGGTTATTTTTATACTTCCTGTTTTTATAAAACCCAACATGGCATATGACAGAGTTTAGCAAAGA